TTTGATAAAATACAACCAAGTGACGAAAGAAGTTGTAAACCAGAATATGTCCAATAATCTAACGGCTCCATCTTTATCTTTAAAGGGTTGGTATTATTTATATCATTACGATAAAGAAATGGTGGAAGAAGAATGGTATGAAACTACTAGAATGGTTGCGAAACATACCGAAAAAGAAAACGTAGAAAAAGTTTATTCGCACACTAATCCTTTTATAAGAAATTTTATCAGACGATCTATTAAAGGAGGAAGAGTTTCGGCAAATAGAAAATCATTTGAAACGAACAAAATGGATGAAATTTGTAACGTATTAAAGGAATATACAGAACTTGAAAGTAATAACATAATTGATTTATTCAAAGAATACAGCGCAAGCACAAAAGACAAAACGGAGGTTCATTCGAGACTAGAAATAGAAAATAGAAAATAGAATGTACTAAACTAATGGCATTTGATGCTAACGGTTTATACGCTTCCGCCATGTCGGATTTAGACAGTGAATATCCGAGAGCGGAAAGTGGAAGACCATTTCTACCAGAAGAAGAAAAAGAATTTGTAAAACTCTTCAATAAACAAAAATTCAGACCTAAAACAGCTATTTTAACAGTGTGGTTTGACTATCCCAAAAACATGTTCTTCCAACCGATACCAGCTAAAGATAAAATCACTTTCACGAATAAAGAAGGTAAAAAGGAAACTGGTAACAAAATCAGGTTCAGAAATGATTTCTGTCACGACGTTTTAACATCGGTCGATATTCAAGAAATAGTGAAAGCCGGTGGACGAATTATTAGAATATTAGATGGTATAGTTTACGAAGAAAATTTTAAAACTCCACCCTATAGAGATTATATTTTAATTTTGAGAGATTTAAGAAATAAATATAAACGAGAAGGTAATATCGTGGGTAGTAATTGCATGAAATTATTAGGTAATTCCTTGTATGGTAAATCAATTCAGAAAGATATATTCACAACTAGACATTTATGGAATGAAGCAATTTTACAGGCCAACTTTGATTCACGCGTTAAAACCTATGAGAAAATTAATGATACTCAATCTATTGTTGAAACAGAAATTGAAGAAAAAGAGATTACTACCGAAGATAGTAAATCTACACGACTAACACCTAGTCATTTGGGATCATTCGTTTTATCTCACAGTAAAAAAATAATGAACAATTTCATTCACGTCATAAATGGATTTTATAAACCCGAAATATACTATACCGACACCGATAGTTTGTACATTTAATCCAAAAATTGGAAAAAACTAAACAGAGCTGGTTTGGTCTCCGAAAAAGACTATTGCAAAGGTAAAAACGATTACGGTGACGGTGGAATTATATTTGGTTTATATTTAGCACCAAAAGTCAAATACAACATCGTTTGACTTCTGATGTG